CTTTGTTCGTTTCAAATGATTAACCGGGCCGCAATTATTGTTTAAACATTTTTCTTTTACGTCGACGATGAATAAAACTATTTTGCATACATGTTAGGTCATCGGACACAGAGGACCAAAGGAAGAAGAGTGAAGCTAATCTCCAAGATGGCCGCCGACCATCGAAGAAGACGACGTCGTCTGGGGTAACCGGTTATGTGCATTTGCCTTGCAACAAGATTATAATATCGCAACGCAGAGAGAGAGATGAACTGCTCGATAGTGTCCCCTTTTAGCAATTTAAATGTGGTTGCGAATGCAAAGCGATGCGATGGCCATCCGGTCCTCTCTGGCTTGAGATCGGGACGGCTCGAAAGGACCGGACCGCATTCTGGTCGTTGTGTTGATGCCGCGCGCCGCGCAATTTCCATATTTTTACATGTCGGCGTTTAATACGAGGAATTTGAGACCGGAGCAAAAGGACCTCGAGGGACAATTCCCGCCGTCGCATTGTGTCGATGTCGCTAGTTATGTTATCGATCTTTCCTCCTTCCTGCCTAATTAGGAAAAGGCTACATTACCATGCCAGAATTCGTTCCAGCACAGCTCAGCTGCAGCCGCTACTGCTGTATCGTTTGGGCGAAGGGGACGACAGGAAACTAATGGCCTCCAACGAAACACCATTAACGCATAATACCGTAATTTAAATTGTTCGCTCTCCCCCCATAAAGTATATCTAATTAAACCTTAAAATCAAAACAGAATCTTTTATTATAACACTTTCCCCACTGCAATGTTCCAAAGAGGAATTATAGGGGATTAAAATTAATGCATATTAAAAAAAAAAAGATATTTTGTTGCATTATTATGATGATTCAACTATACATCGCTTCTTATGCGTGAAGATTCTGGCATTACATATATGAATTAAGTATGTTATTCTTTGGTGAATCTGGATTTTCTTTATAGATTCATAGGTCAGCAAGTAAGGTGGTAACTAGAAATTATTCCGAAACTATTGATAGGTATTTTGGCATGTCGTTTGTGGATAGTCTGTGGAGTAGAATCTGAGTTTTCGACATCGAGAACCTTGTGCTAACTTGGAGGAAGTTGAAAGACCTAAAAATTTTCAGTTTTTTGCTCATAACTTCTAAACCGTGCGGTTTTAGCGGAATACACCTATTTATAAAGTTGAAGAAAATTAAATTTTCTTCAAATTCAACTAGTCAAAAGTTTCCTTAAACGCAATAGTAACCGAGATGCAGTGGTTCAAAGATACAAAAAAAATCTCAACTTGTCAAAAATTTCTTCCCGTTTGAACATAATTGAAACCAAGCATGGGATAAACATCTTTTATCCTCGTCGATTTTGACGTCATCTGTGCTGAACTCGCCTATCTACTACCCATACACCTTTCCTGGATACAAAAAAGCTATTCCTAATAGGTACTGGAGCTGTTGCTCCTGAAGTTGTGAACTGCGACTTAGCTCGAACTATTGGTATCACCTGTACAAAGACCTGTTTAGAAAAAGAGAATTTTCAAGACATGAAATTGAACCGAAAAGATAAGGTTGTTGCTCTAGCGTCTGTTTCCTGTTGTGTGAAAATTAAAGAAAAAAGTTTACAATAGACCCTCTCACTCTCTTTCAACAGATTCACATAGTAAAATAATCAGATGATGACCTAGCCCACTTCCCGATGTCTCTCTTCACAGAAGGGAACAAAGTCAATGTTGTATGCAGCATTCACTCTTATTGTATAAGAACCAGTAGACTTCTGCAGCAGCAAATGCGCAGTTGGTGGGTACCTGCTACATAAGGTTGTGTAAAGCAAATCAAGAGATACGATATTTGAATTGATGTGTCAGAAATACGTGAATTATGTTCAAAGACACTTCGGGAGTAATGCTATAGTGGTTTTTGATGGGTATCCTATTGGCATAAGTTACCAAAGCACCAGAGCAGTAGAATGATATACACTATAATTTGAGATTTAAGAGAAATTTATAATATCAAAAAGTGAAAGGGTGCATTTTTCAAAATTTAGTTTTTTAAGGATGATGATTTGCTTGAATTTCCCATATTGTTATTTTCCACTGAAATGCCAGGAAAATTTCCTTCCTCTTTTCACCAAAAAAGTTTCAAAATTCTCCCCTTTCAAGTTTTCCAAAAAATTTCAAAATGTGCATGAGAAGGTGCATTTGCCAAAATTTAATTTTTTAAGGATGATTTTCTAGAATTTCCCATATTGGTATTTTCCACTGGATTATTCCAAAAGTCTAGTAAAATAAATTCTTTCCCTTCCTCTTTTGACCAGAAAAGTTTCAAAATTCTACTTTTTCCAGTTTATTGAAAAAATTTGAAAAAATAGTGAGAGAATGCATTTTTCAAAATTTAATTTTTTAAAAATGATTTTCCAGAATTTCCCATATTGTTATTTTCCATTGGATCATTTTGAAATTTCAGGAAGATTAGCTCTTTCCCTTCCTCTTTCCACCAGAGAAGTTTCAAAATTCTCCCCTTTCCAGTTTTTCCATTAAATATTAAAATGTCAGAGAGTAGGCATGCATTTTTCAACATTTAGTTTTTTAAGGATGATTTTCTAGATTCTCCTATATTGCTATTTTCCACTGGATTATTCCAAAATTCTAGTAAGATGAATTCTTTCCCTTCTTCTTTCCACCACAAAAGTTTCAAAATTCTCCTTTTTCTAGTTTTCTGAAAAAATGACAAAATGTGAGAGAATGCATTTTTAGAAATTTGATTTTCCAAAGATGATTTTCTAGAATTTCCCATATTGTTATTTTCCACTTTTCCTTCCTCTTTTCACCACAAAAGTTTCAAAATTCTCCCTTTATCAGTTTTTTAAAAAAATATCAAAATGTGAGAGAATGGATTTTTCAAAATTTAATTTTTTAAAAATGATTTTCTAGGATTTCCTACATTGTTATTTTCCTCTGGATCATTTTGAAATTTCAGGAAGATGAGCTCTTTTCCTTTCTCTTTCCACCAAAAAAGTTTCAAAATTCTCCCCTTTTCAGTTTTTCCAAAAAATATCAAAATGTGAGAGGGTGCATTTTCCAAAATTCAGTTTTTAAAGATGAATTTCTTGAATTTCTCATATTGTTATTTTCCAACTGGATCATTTTGAAATTCCAGGAAGAAGTTCTTTCCCTTCCTCTTTTCAACAAAAAAGTTTCAAGATTCTTTCCTCTGCAGTTTTTTCAAAAAGTATCAAAATGTGAGAGGAAGCATTTTTCAAAATTTAGTTTTTCAAGGATGATTTTCTAGAATTTCCCATATTGTTATTTTTGACTCCCCCAAGCTAGTACAGGGTCGTCGAAAACTGAGATTTTACTCCACAAATGATATACCAAAATATCATTAACTTCGGAATACCTACTTTCCAGCAGAAAGAACTTGCCTGCCTGCTGGACTATCATCGATCAGTTAGTATATTAATCCTAGTTCTACATAGAATTCGAAAAAAATCACTAAAACTTCCCATTGTATTGACAAGACAGTATCAGGGACGTAGCAAGTCAAAACCGGGCCCTGGTACAAGACTACTGCGGGCCCCCTTCACCATATGGACATCGGAAGGTTCAAATTCATTGGGGGGGGGGGGGGGGGGGGGGGGGGTTATATGCAAAATGACGCATGTCAAATTTGTAGGCGAGACATTTTTGGACAGACAATAACTATTTTTGTAACAAGTACCTAAAATATTTTACACAACGTTTTTAGCTCGGCAACCGTTCTGAAAGTACATACTTTCCGGACGCGTTTTACTTAGGAAAGTCTTTTTCAGTGATTACTTAGGCCAGGAAGTGATTACTTTCCGGTCTAATTTGGGAAGTATGTACTTTCCGTCCGAAAAAATAGTGTACGTAATACGCCTGCAGAGTGTATTTTCAAACTCGCAGACATCCAGGACTCGGCTACGCCTCGCCATGGATTTGAAAATCTTGTCTACTCGTCCAAAATAACAGTACTTTCCGGACTCCTCACGTAATAGATTTACTGTTTTCATCGACAAAATCCTACAATTCCCACATCCCACACATCCTTGCATCCCACATAGGATTCACTCATTTCATGTGACTCATGGATTTTCACGATTGAGAATAACAATAATTGACAATATTGACACGAGTACTGGGAATCGGAGGACTGACTATAGATATCGATATTACAGTTTTCTATTTGGATTACAAATCGCCTAAGCGAAGAATGATTACTTGGACGAGCGAAATATGATTTTTTCTAAATTTCTTGTATGTTGTGTCCAAAAACTGCATGACACGCCGGGCCCCTTCAAGGCCCCCCACATATGCTTGCATTCCACATGGGATTCACTCATGTGACTCATAGATTTCCACGATTGAGAATGACAATTGACAATATTGACACGAGTACTGGGAGTCGGAGGGCTGACTGTAGATATCGATATTACAGTTTTCTATTTGGATTACAAATCGCCTAAGCGAAGAATGATTGCTTGGACGAACGAAATATGATTTTTTTTCAATTTCTTGTATGTTGTGTCCAAAAACTGCAGGACACGCAGGGGCCCCCTTCGGGGCCCGGGCCCTTGTGCGCGGCACCACTTGCACGCCTTGTTGCTGCATCCCTGGACAATAGAAAGGATATTGCTATAAAGTTTTGTAATAATAATTTCCTACTCAAGTTGGTGAACCTCTCTAATTGCAATAAATTTTTAATTGTCAACAAATGGTGGTTGACTCAAGACTCGTCAATAGACCCAGTTAAATATTTGGCTCATTTCTCAAGCTCAAGCATTTGAGGTGGTACTACCAATATCCCCAAGAAGTGGGTCAATTAGGTCAATTATCACCCAATGAATACTCAATTTCTTGGACACAAACTATACACGCAATCTATACAAAATACTTTTTTTACTAAAGCCTAAAAACATTCTCTATGAATATAACTTCAATAACAATTTGCAGCTCTTGATTTGTATCATAATTGAAGTTGGTTTTTCTTTCTTTGTTCCAGGTTCACGAACTCTGTGACAACTTTTGCCACAGGTATATTAGTTGTTTAAAAGGCAAAATGCCGATAGACCTTGTGATAGACGAAAGGGATGGCGGCAAACCGCCTGAGCTTGGTGGTTCAACAAATGGAGATGGCGGTACCCGAAGTAATGCCGACTCCACCTCACACACGGACGGTGCGAGCACGCCCGATGTCGTAAGTACAACTTTTCCAACTTATACTAAAACCTATTTTTATCTCTTTTTCCTTCCCAAAAAAAAAAAAATTATTAAATTATGGCATAATATATAAAATTCAATCCCTCGGAGTTTCTTGATCGACGTTTTTGCGTAAGGAGGGGACCGGAGAGGGTGGGCTTCTGAGTGTATTAGCTCATTTTCGTGATGCTGTTTGCAAAAAGCTAGGGGGAGCTTAAAGCAGGGAGTTTTACTGGTAATTGGTGTCAATTTAGACTGACGCATCGGCAACGGGAATGGGGGATTGAGTTACACCCTATTGCGTATCTTGCGGTCACCCGCTTTTCGGTAATAAACAACTTGTGAGTTTTTTTTTCTAATCATATTTTATAAATATTCATTATTGTAGATTCATATTCCATTCAAACAAAAAATTCCTTGTTTTTAACCCTCGAGTTCTTGCGCTATATATAATACATTGATTTCATTGTTTATTCCGAACATACCCCGATTATTCTGTTTACAAAGAGTGCGTGGTCGTGTCAAGCATAAGAAATGGCGGCATAGGCTTCTCTGCCGAGACAAGGTTATACGATTCAGTCGATTGAAGTATGACAATGTATAAAAGTTATTCTAATATTCACCAACAAATCAGAAACTTCTTATTATCAAGTTGGAATTGTTGGGAAGTTGGACGATGGCAGCCGGTCTATCTATCAATTCAGGACTGTTTCCTGCTGCATCAAACTAATGGTCCCAACGGTCAGAGTAAACTTCGCAGGAGAAACAGTTTAATGGAATCCGGGACCGCGGGGACCATTAAAATGAAATAGTGCGCTCCGGCCTTCTTTTTTCCCTGATTCTCTCGGACTTTGTCCTCTGCCGCATTGCATCGCTCTTTCTGAGCCGGCCCGAATCAATCTTCCCTTAAGCAGAACGGATTGTTATTGTTTGCACTAGTAAGTAAGTGAGTAGTAACGGACCATTAATACGAGGAGATTTAATGGGCCGTAGCACATAAACTCTTTTTTTGTGCCATTAATTTTATTATTAATGCAAAAAAAAAAAATAAGAATATTGGATTCTGTTCAGGTGTTATCAGGGAAACTGGGAAAGCGGCGGCACCTGGGCCGATGGGGAGTCATACATCAACCTTCCCCGTCCAGAGATTCGGGATCGGATAGAATAGAGCAACCGAGAAAAGCAGGATATGAGCGCCGCGGAGGCGTCGCATCGCCGTTACGCTACCGGGCTATATATTACGTCGACAAATTAAATTATCCTGCTGTCTGCGATAAGACCGGACTGAGACCCGGGTGCATTTTTTATTGCTGCAGCGAAAATAATGTGCGGGGAACACGACCAGGGCCCAATTCCCTATACCATACATTTTATTCAACGGACGTCGGGATAATTAATAAGTTTTTCAATTTATATAATATGAAGTTGGCATATAATATGTACAGTAGCGGCTCATGACTATTTCAAGTGAGGAGGCTAATTACAGTTCATGAAATTCCTCGGAATTCCATTAGGATTTCATTTTCAAAATTCCATATTTTTTTAAATTTTAACTTAATTAAAATTCCTCAAAATTTTACCACTGAAATATCCTGGAATTCCACAAAATTTTCATAAAATTCTTTGGAATTTCATTGACATTTCATGTAATTTCTTAAAAATTTCTCGGAATTAGTGAATTTTATGAGAATATCCACTTTCATGACCGAAAATTTCTCGAAAGTCCAATGAAACTTCAAGGAATTTTCAAAATATAATTTATTTTCATAAGAATTTTTCGGAATTTCACTGAAATTCTCTTTTAATAACCAGGAATTTCTGGGAATATTAATGAAGTTTCAAGTAATTTCTTAAAAATTCATCGAAATATATTGAAATTTCATGTTATTACATGGTAATTTTTCGGAATATCACCGAAATTCCATGTTTTTAGTTGGAAATTCCTCGGCATTACTAAAATTCAGTAAAAACTGAAATTTCATGTTGGGAATTTCGGTGTAATTTCATGTAATTGTTTAAAATTCCTCCATGTAATTCATTTAGAATTTCGTGTAATTCGATCGGAATTTCACTAAAATTTCAAGTAATTCGAGAGGAATGAATGAATTCTATGGAAACTCCGCAAAAATTTCACCTCTAATTCCTTTTTCAGAATAACATAATTATTCTACCGAAATTCCACTTAATTATGGAATTCTGATATTTTAATAGATTTTTGGGGATTCCAAAGGATATTTGGGAATTTTAAAGGAAATATTTTTCAGAAATGTTAATGATTGGGTTTAAAATAACCTATAAATCGAGATTTCATAAAAACATATGGCAACGCTGCGCATGATACAACAAACATCAAAAAATTGAAATATCAAAGTAGGCCTTGGTTTTTTTTGACAGTCGATATAAAATGGCGACTTTTTGTTTCAAAGATTACGATCCGAAAAGCCGAAGTATTAACAATGAACGGGTTCGTATAATTCTGGCCCTTCGGGCTCGTATAACCTCGGACCTTCGGGCTCATGATTAAAATAACTCCGGCCTGTCGGGTTCGCATGATTCCGGCCCTTCGGACTCGTATAACCTCGACCCTTTGAGCTCATAATTGAGATAACTTCAGCCTTCCAGAATCGAGATTCGAAAAAAAAACATATGGCAACACTGCTTATAATACAACAAACGTCAAAAAATTGGCCCTATTTGGCTACTTTTCACGTATTCGCCGAGACTAAATCTATATGCCCATGTAGGTTTTTTTTTTTAATTTTGACTGTCAATGTCAAAAATTTTTACCTTTTCTTTTTTTCAAAAAACAAATGTCAGAAAACGATCCCCAGGCTCCGAAAACCCTAAAATAAGAAGTTTCATCGATATATGTCAAAAACCAATCGCCTGGCAACGCCGAACGTCTTTTTTGACATATGTTAAAAAAAAAAAATTGGTACCTACTTCCTACGTATTCGCCGAGGCTAAATCTATATGCCCATTAAAATTTTGACAGCTGTTAATCTCAAAAAAAAATTCTTTTGTTTTTCCCAAAAAACAAATGTCGTTTTTTAGTGGGTTTTAGGGTGAGATTTATGTAACAATATGTAACAACAGTTGGTATAAAAAAATCAATTTCCCGTCGGGTTTGGAATTCGAATTTTTGAATTTTCCCGGCTCCTGATTGGTTTGGGGATTCGAATTTTGTTTATTCCCGGTTCTTGATTAGCTTTAAAGTAATTTATAATTTCGACCCTTCGAGCTCGAGATTTGAAAGAAAAACATATGGCAACACTGCTCATGATACAACAAACGTTAAAAAATTGAAATTTAAAACCTTGAGTTTTTTTGACAATCGATACAAAATGACGTCTTTTTGTTTCAAAGATTACGGCCCGAAGGGCCGAAGTATGAAAAATCAGTTAACAATGAACGGGTTCGTTCGGATAAAACTTTTGTCGCACGACACTTTGGCAATATCGACAAATGTCATCTGTCAAATTTGACACATGTTCGACTTTTTCTCCGCTCTACTATAAAAGCTACGAAAATCAAACCCCGGTACAAGGCAGTTTCGCGACGCTAACTATCGATTTGTGTCAAAAAAAATTGACAGCTGTCAACGTCAAAAAATTATTTTGCGAATTTCGAGAAAAAAAGTGATAGAAAACGATCCCCGGACCCCAAAAACCTTAAATAAAATTCCAAAAAAAAAAACAACGGAAATGACATTCCAAAACCTACTTGAACACTGGAAATTTTTGGTGGAAAATGAAGAAAACTCAAAGTCTTGTACTTTGAATCGGTTTTTCCGACCAGAAAAGCCCTGGAAAAGCGGACAAATTCAAAGAAAAACCTCTAAAAATGACATTTCAAAGCCTACTTAATGAAATTTGAGTTTTTGTCACTTACCCCATTGGAAAACTGGGAATTCTTAGCACAAAATGTAGGAAATTCAAAGCTTCGTATTTCAAATCGGTTTTCTTGACTGAAAACGGCTTGGAAAAGCGGAAAATTCGAAGAAAAACTGGATAGAAATGTGAACACGTCAATTAAAAATTACCGATTGTCAAAACTGGCAAATGACATTTATTACAAAACCTATTTGAAGTTGGTACAAACGGTGTTGCCACATCAAAACTTTTAAAAAAACCATTTTAAATGGGATTTTGTTATTTATATCATTTTAAAACTGGACATTTTTGCTAGAAAATGAAGAAAACTCAAAAACCACCGTTTTCTGAAAAAAGTAAAAATCTTAAGAAAACCAACATTCCAAAGTCAATTTGATAAAACTAAAGTTTCTGAATATTCCCGACTCTTTGATCGGACGCTAAAAATCGCATTTTAAATACTCCCGGTTTTTGATTGGCTCCAAATTATCCGCTGACCAATAGAATTATAAACTAGGCCCCGTGATTAAAATAACTCTAGCCCTTCGGGCTCGCGTATAACTCCGGCCCTTCGGGCTCGCGTATAAATAACTCTAGCCCTTCGGGCTCGTATTACTCCGGCCCTTCGGGCTCGCATATAACTCCGGCCCTTCGGGCCGGTATTACTGAGTATCCCATCCCCCATTTTAAATCTAAGGTTACCTTTAATACTAAACATATTGGGGTTTGGATAATTATACCAAAATACCTTTTTTCTCAGTTCAGAAACCGACTTACTGCAGGGTTGAAAACAGGTGGCCCCACGTTGGGCGCCAATTTTGTGGGCTAGTCTAAAAGCGACAATCAAACCCTACTCACCGGAATTTTGTGGGCTAGTCGGAGCTTCCCTATAAGTCGGGTTTTTTCTTTAGACCACCTTCAAGAGTCATATCCCTCCCTTCACTCTTTTCTCCCTTAGCTTCCCCCTGTCGCTTTTGGACTCGTTACAACAGGTGTTATGTGGGTTTCACAAAGGAATAACGTATTTTCTTCAAGATGAAGTTCGCTATGCTGGTAAATGTGTTACAGATCATGGAAGGCGAATTTTCCACTTCAAATTTCACTTACAATAATAATAAAAAGCTTT